TTTTTGGACGTTATTGAGAATTTCTCTCTCTCTCTCTCCATTTTTTTAAATGAAGTGTACTCACTTGCGTATTTGCGTATAGGCAGCTACGTCCCTGAGACTTAATTTAGTAAGTCTATTCAAATATTGTCTTATCTAATAAAGCATTCATATTCCTTTTACTATGCTAACAATGAATGTTAATCTTACCAGAATTTTTGTTTTATTTTTGCAATTGATAGCTACAGTTGAATCATTCTTTAAAAAAGAAAACATTTAATCCCTAAACTTTGGTTCATAGTGAAAAAAAAAAAGAAACCTTTACTGACAGACTTGAATAAACCGTTTCAATAATTTCCTTAGACAATGTTTGAGTTGCAACAACAGTTTATTATCTCATGATGTTTATAAATAACATTAAATACAGACTGTTTATACTTAATAATTACCAATAGGTGACTAATTAGCATGCTTAATTGCTAGTTAAGTATGTAAATAATTAAATCTGGTAGTTACCACAGCATTACACAAATAATAAATATGACAGGTTTATTCATTTCAAATTTTATACACGTATTTTGTCAGTTCTGAGTTCATACACTGTATGCATATATAGATTTTAGCGTTAGGAAAATACTTTTTGTACAAAACATATAACAGATAACTCTTGCATATAAGGGTAACCAAAGTTGACTTAACTTGGAGTTTTGGCGAAGTTATACGAGAGTCATTCAATAAATAATGTGACAAAAAGTTTATCATAATAAATGTAGAAGTAAGAAATTTTATTTTTTTCACATCTGTCTTTAAAAAATTGTTTGGTTGCCTTCTCCCGACCGACTAGCTAAAAAGTTTCCGACTCAAACCTTTTTTCAACATCCAGAAAACAATTATTTTTTTATGCATTCCGGAAAATGAATTTTCCCACCTACCTACAGACCCAAAAATTTTTCATCTTGATTTGGGAGAGGGCAAGCAAACATTATTTCAAAGTTCGCCTAAAGATTTAACTTTTAAAGTAAGCTTGGTCACTACATTGAACTGAAAAAACTTACAAATGATCTATGCCGACAAGATGAAAGTAAGAGCATACGTAAAAAGTGCCTAAATACATAAATCGTCAAAGACCTCATATTAAAGATATGTTTTTAATATGTGGAAAGGCTAGTCTTCAACGCTGTATAGTTTTCAGATAGATGAAGAAATTTAAATTGAAGTAAAAAGAAGATTAAATATAGCAGTCAAACTTTTCGATCGAAATTTGTAGAGAATTATAATTTATATCAGTGCTGTGAGCAACACGATATCTAAAAATGTCAGTTTTACAATGATAGACATTGCTAAGACACTAAATATTTCATAATCACAACTGTTACAGTTTATAGAGTTCTGACAAAGGAAATGAATATACATGTACATGTAATAATTTTTCTATCAGATACATGTAGTTTAAAATGGTATATTCAAAAACAGATATTTTTTTTTACAAAAAAGAAGATTTGTTAAACTTGCGTGATAAATGACGGAACATCGGTGCACTTTTTGTAACCGAACAGGAAGATCAGTAATAAAATGTGGAATTAGAGGGAAAGCCTATTATTCTAAAGATACGCATAATAAAGATAAGATCTCCAGGGTAATTTTCCTGTATCTGACAACGCTGCTGTAAATAAGCATAGCGAAATATATTAAATTTTGAAGAAAAAAGATTACAGAGTTTTGTCATCCCCCATATTCAATAGATCCCAGCCATTGTAAGATCATTTTAATCCAAAAACGCATGAAAACAAAGGATGAGTACAATTTCAGATATGTTATGGATCGAAAGTGTTATTCATTAGTGCCTTTTGTGATCCCTACAATGAGTATGCTGAGGTTTTCTTGACATTGGTACAAATACCTCAGACATATGTAAAGAGTAACAGGGAATACTTTGAGGGATCGAAACTATTAAAAATCTGCTTTACATATTTTTTTAGATGAGTTTTTGCATAATTTATTGAACGATCCTCGAATAATTTACAGTATGTGTATACATTCAAATATAAATTATAATATGCAATATATACTTCAATTTATAGTTTGCTTATAAAAATACAAAATAAACTGTGTGTTATTACGTCGATATATAGATACACATTGTGAACCAGTTCTTATAAGCGTATCCTCATGTCTTTGAAAAAAAAATGAAAGTGCAAGACGTTTTGAAAACCTTACTGAGGATATAGAATTTCGATTCGTCCAAGTGAAAAACGTTTGTGAATCATTTCAAACCAATGAAACAGTTCAAAATTTAGTAACAATTTGTAATTCTAAAAATTATTTGCCGTCCCGAGGAATCGCTTCCCTCTTCAGTTCCCAATATCTCGTCAACTCAGAGGTATCGATAATATGTCGATCAGTGATTGAATGCAAAGGGCATGGCATTTTGCTGTCTTCTTTCGGAATCCTTGTTTCCGGTAAAAAGTGTTTTTCGATATCCATTGCAATTGTTTCTACCTTGTCCGTTCGACATCTGAAGCCTCTAACAAACTGTATCTTTCTGTAAAATGATCCTGAAAGATTCTCCAATATTTCTTCTATTCTTTTTTGAATTGTACATACTTGTGCTCTTTCCAAAACGTATCCTGCCACCGGATGAAATATTTGAAGTTGTATAGAATTTTCCGTAACGGATAAAACAATATTGTATTCGTTATGCTTAAACAAAGCAGCATTTTTGTAAAGACAGGATGTACCATCATTTTTTAGTACTTCCCAATTATCTTCTTGCATACAAGCAACAACAAGGCGAAAAAACAAGAAAAATGGGAGAAATTCAAATTGATAAACAAGGACAGATGATTTACTTTCCGATTCGTTAATCAGATCTATAAGTTCCTTTTCTGTTTCTTTACGATTCATGCATGGAACATAGTGGGATTTTCCACCAACAACCAGCAAACCAAGTCTTTGCATAAAATTAAGAAGTGAATCTTTGTGATATTGAAGATATTGTTTATCTAACTCATATGATCCACCTTTGACATCGTAATTTTCATCTTCTTTCTTTAGCTTTTCAAACAACTCTTCATCTTTATGTTTCCAAATTTTTATCAGAAGTCGGTCTAGCAAATTTCCAGTTTCGTAATATTCATCCCAATCAACCTGAGTTACAGGAATACCTTCGAGATGTAGCTCATCTGTGATGATATGCTTGAAGGCGTCAATAAACCACTGAACATCAATTATTACTTCTTCCTCTAGACCATTTTCATGAAAATATAAAGCTTTTCCAGCATCATGATAGTATCGTAGCACATCTTGTTTTCCATTTGTTGCTGTATCGGAATTTTTCTGTCCATTAATCGTTATCTCCAGAACTTTTGTCTTTATTTTTGAGATCTTCATGATTCGCTTTGAGAATTTTTTCTGGGTAATTTCTAATCCGAAGAAAAACCATTCTTTTGGAATGTCTTCTTTCCATAGTTGATAGGAAGCTATATCAAAGAGACATCTTTCTAATTCACCCAGCGGTACAGAAAGTTGTGTATAAAAACAATTATCTTTTCTGATGTACTGTGATAGATTTGATGATTTAGGAAACTGACATCGTAGACTCTCCATGAATTCTTTTTCATTCTGCAATGATAAAACATTTTCTTACTGTTTATTTTCATGTGGTTTCATGTATAATTCAATGTAGGCTATTTTTCTCTGTTTTTGTAAAGATATCATTTGGATTTAACTTAGTTTTCTACTTATGTTGTGCAGAGATTATCCCCATCAAGATGTGTCAAATTCCTAAAAAGTCTTATCTTTAGGCCTTCCATTGAACATTTATAATTTGAAAAAATACAGAAAACGACGGTTATAGCGACATGCTTAACGCTGATAATGAATTCAAACTTAGAGCGAAGTGATTTTCATTCCCGTGAGTTTAAAAGATATTGATAACTAAAAGTATATAACAAATAACGTTTATAACACATCAAAATTGTTTTTGAAACATGTCAATAATACAGAAAATGACCATAAAAGTACCAAAGCAATCAGAGATCCTGATCTGCGTGTATTAAAGTGAACAGGTACAAAGAAAATGACACTTAACATGATTGTTGCAAAATACCAGTGATAATCACTTTAAATGCCCAAAGATGTATTGTAACATCAACATATAAAAGATTCTGAAGTGAAATGGATTTAAGAAAAAAAAAAATCTTTTGAAAATTCGTCAAATAACACTCACTAAAAGTAGATTGATTGATTGATTGTATGTTGTTTAACGTCCCATTCGAGAATTTTTCACTCATAGAGAGACGTCACCATATACCGGTGAAGGGCTTCAAATTTTGACCTTTACTCGGCACTCAGGGCCATTGAGCAGTGAGGGATCTTTATCGTGCCAACGCCTGCCATGACACGGGGCCTCGGTTTTTAAGGTCTCATCCGAAGGACCCGCAACTTTCACTTCAAAGTGCCGAGAGCATGGCGAAGGAACAGTTGCTACCCATTTATTATCGAAAAATATCTTGCACTTCCAACGTTTCCGCTTGAACATCATTGAAAAGATATAATTTGTCGAAATGCGCATCTGGTGCACCAAAATTGGTACCGTATATGATTTACATTATGACCCCAGGGTCGAGGCCTCTGCTGGTGGACTGTTAGTCCCCGAGGGTCTCTACAGCCCAGTAACCTAGTACTTCGGTACTAGCTTAAAAATACGGATATATATTTAAATCCTGTGGTAAAATTTAGAAATTTATTTCAAAAATAAGGATTATCTCCCTCATGCATATCTCTGATCCCTCGAGGTATTTGGCTCCAGTTTTTGGCATCTTTTTCAGCTCTTCCAAGTCTTTTTTATTTAAATATTTTGGATGTTCAACGTTTCGGCTTGAGCATCACTTAAGAGACATAATCTGTCGAAGTGTGCATCTGGTGCATCAAAATTGGTACCGTATATGATTAACATTAAGGAAATAATCACACTTAGCTAGAACTTTTTTTAAAGACATTTATCAAACAAGTAATGCTTACCTCAAACTGTCTGTTTTCTTTTTCCCAATGAGTGGCAACAATTAGAACTGTTGGCTTTGGATCTTCTTTATTGTCAGAACCACAGTAGGTGTGTATAGACTTAATCCAGAAAACGAAGTAGTCTAAAGTAGATAAATATAAAAATCCCTCCTTATAAGACGAGTATCCTAAATATACTCACAACAACAGCTCTTTTAAAATGCAAAAGTTTATAAATAGATATGAAGAAAATAAGGTTTAAGCATACATAATTACTGTTATGACTGAAGTCTGAAGACTTAATTTATTTTTGTTTCGTATGTAGAGCAAAGCAACCTTTTGGGATAACATAACCCGTTCGACTATCTGTCTGTTTGTTTGTCACACCTGGTATTCGTCTGTCACACCTTATATCTTGAACACTGTAAACAGTATGAATTTGATATTTTTGTCATGTATTGCTTGGAACTATGTTTTTTTAAACAACCATGGTTCCTGGCCCATGACCTCTGATCTACTTTTCAAAATAGATCATGATGTCGGTATACAGCATATTTTTGGTCATTTGAGAGGAATATGTGCGATTAAGCATGTGCACCCTTTGTCCTAAGACATAAAAAAAATCGTTACGGTCCACTTGACCTTTATTTACTTTAAAAAAAAAAATAATCCAAACGTTTAATTTATGTAATGCTTTCTGAATTTTGAGAGAAGGGCTTGGATAAATAGATGTAGCTCATATATTTTCCAGCTCATGCCGCTTAACTTTTAAACTGTATGGTATACAATTAATACAAAAACTGAACTATAAATATTTGAAAATAGCTTCTAATCCACTATACAACTGGATAATAATTTCATAATGATCACTGAAATACTGCTATCAACACATACTGTCAGTGCAGACTGCATGCAGCTAACCGTCATGCGTATCGACCCAGAAGCTGACTCATTTGAAACGACAGCACGGGTGGTAGATTTGCAGAGTCACAGTTTTGAGTGGACTTCCACAATAGACGTAGATGTGTGTGGCGTATTGATGGAGAATGTTAAGCCAATTGCTGTACTGAGGTCGCTTTGGAGGGGGCTTGTCATGACTGGCATTAGTATCGGCAAAGAACAGACTTTCACTTTATCAAAGGGAATCTTATGGGCCGTAGCTATATAGGAATGTGGTATTTGACCATATTGTAATACCATATGCTGGAACTTTTAGAGATGCTTTTCTTTTAATGGACGATAATGCACTTCAACACAGAGCTCATGTAGTGAAGGTTTACTTAACAGCAGAAACAATTGAGTGTTTGGACTTGCTTCAACGTACAATTTCATATCCTGCCCTCAGTTGCCATTAAACTATCAGGAGTTTGCAACTGCACTGAAAGAGTGGAGTCGAATTCCTCAAAGAACAAGGTACGGTTTCAATAAAAATCTTGCCCTGTTTTTTTCTTAAAAATGAAAGTGATGTAAAAATAAAACTCATGTTTTCTGAATCATTGCAATTCCATGCAGAAAGATCATACAAATCATTTTTCTCAAATGACCTTCTAAATGCTAATTGTGAGTCATAAAATTGTGCATTTTCCCGTATTTTCTAAAAAAGTTGCAGAAGACACCAATTTTCAATGGAAGTTTCTTTCAGATAATATTGTCCACAGGCATCGCTCAAAAAGAGATATGTGATTTTTCAAAGAATTTTACACAACATATCCGAAAATTAAAGTGGGCGACGGCTGTGGATACTATTTTCGTAAGGAAAATAACCCTTGAAATGGGTCATTTTGAGGCTTTTTCTGTTTAAGATAAAGAAATCCATCAAATTAATGATGTCATATTTCCAGAATGGTACTCGTTCATGTCATATTCTTTCCTAATTTATCACAGTCATATACTCAACTAATATTTAAGCCAGTTTCAAAACTTTTTGAAAACATGAAATTTTTAGGGCACAATAAAGCTAAAACCGTACCTTTTTCTTTCGATAAATAGATATTTTCAGATTGCACAGATTTGAAGTTGTCGAGCTGTAAGTATTTCTGTTGTTTATGGTCATACTGCATACTGACACAATGACTGATAGAGCACAACAAATTTTGACATTATTTTTGCAAGAAAGGTTAATTATCCTACGAATAAATCATGATTTGTGCAAAGCTATGTTCAGTGTATAATTTAAGTAAAGTTTGAATGTTATGTTTGCCTGTTGATATTTCATTACAATTGTTTGATGCGACGGTTCAAATTTTTCTGTATGGAACAGAAGTTTGGGGATATGAGAATAATGATTTTATTGAGTCTTTACATTTGGAATTCTTTAAATACATATTGAAAACGAACAAAATATACCCATAATAGCATTGTACATGGTGAACTACATTGTGGGCAAAGTACAATTATCTGTGCCTATAAAGCCAATAATATGGGTTTTGGGCAAAGAATTGCTTCTGGAAAAAAATGAGCGCTCTAATGTAATACAACATTATAATATTCTTAATAAAGAGGATGTTTTTCAGTCTAAGTCGTAGTCACATGTCAGGAGTATTCTGAACAAAAATGGCTTTAAAAAAAAATTGGAATGATCAGTTTGACCCTATAGAATTGTTTGCCTACACTGTAGCTGATAGTTCAAACATATCATATTGTATGCTTAACCCATAACGACAAAATCAGTGAATTTGTCGTCCGTAATGCACCGGTCACGGTAGCCTACTGGAAGGGCGCTCGCTTCGTGATCGGGAGGCCTGGGTTCGAATCTCGTTCGCCGCGCCGCTTCAAACCTAAGAGGTAAACATAGGTAGTGACTGTTTCTTCGCCAAGCTCCCGGCACTAGAAGTGAAAGTCACGGGTCTTTCGGATGAGACCTTAAAAACCGTGGTCCCGTGTCACGGTGGGCGTTGGCAAGTTAAAGAACCCTCACTGCTCTATGGCCCTGAGTGCCGAGTAAAGGTCTAAATTTGAAGCCCTTTACCGGCATACAGCGACGTCTCTATATGAGAGAAATATTCTCGAAAGGGACGTTGAACAATATACAATCAATCAATCGTCAGTAATGCAGAAAATCCAGTGTGTATCACGTATACTTAGTAAGATAAGCATGAACATTATAGACTTTGACGTCACATGCGCTAAACATCACGTGATCTTTATCTAATTAACATGGATTTTTCCATTCATAGACTTTCGTTAGAGTCAATAGGTGTTTAATTACCGCGATACATGTGTATTTCCCGCAGTAAAAACACAAATTTATAAATTGCGACCACAAGGGAATTAATAATATGCTTTTGATTTCAAGTAATTGTGCAACATGCGATAAGGCTTTTAAAGGCAAAAAAACTCGTATCTTGCCGAGAAAATTTGAAATTCAGTTATTCAAGGGTCATAACATAGTTTGATGGTAAACATACCATGGACTAAGAAAAATAAATTTGCAGAATTTTCTATCGATTGGATTAATTCCCCCAGATTTAGTTTTAACACGAAATAATATTTGCCGAGAGAATTTAGCTGCAGAAAAAAATGGTCATAATTCCATACCTTTCAATAATTACATATTTTCTTTCAATAATAAGTTTACAAACTGAATTTTATTTTTATACATTTGATTTTCCCTTTGCCTCTGTCTTTTCTTAACACAGTGACATAGGCTTGACGTCATAGTTGAGCGGTTGAGACCTCATAGGTTACCAGTTGTGAGATTGAAAACATTACATAGCATGGATTTCAGCAACATATTTGGGAAGAAATTTGCAGTTTTAGCTCTATCAAGATGGTTAGCTACTATCTCTATCTTATGACAGGCCAGAAATTATTTTTTACTTAGATATCCTTTCACACTGTGAGAGAATATCATTTTGGTATCCTTTCACACTGTGAGAGAATATCACTTTTATTCAATAAATAAACCACAGTATTTCACTGTTGAAAATGTAATAAAAGAAGAATTCTTTAAGTCGCATTAAGTTTATATAATATTAATCAAAATTGTTGTATTGAGTATGTTTGGTAACAGTTAATGTTTCTTACTATATGAACTACTTTTTTCCATGTTTGAATTTAATAAACACACATCGCTGTTCTACATCAGTAAGAAGAGGTAGTCTAAAAAGGGAGAAGACATTTTCGTAATACTGTAAGCATGTAGAAAAGATATATTTCATATCGCTTGTATTTATATGATTTTAATTTATATAATAGGTTTATGCTGCGTTCATGTGTGAGTTAGTGAGTTATAATTATGTATAAAACCAATAGATATAATTGCCATTACAATCTTTCTTCATGCAGATTGTAGACAAATGTAAGAATCACAAATGATTTATTTAAAATTGATCGTCATTTTAATTAAGGCTACGTTATTAGCTAGCCTGGGCCAAAAAATTAAGTATTAAGTGAGCTTTTCTGATCAAATTATAGAACGGACATGTTTGTCTCTCCGTTTCACTGTCTGTTCTGTTGTGTGTATACTGTCTCTAGACTTTTCGCATTTTCAACTTCTCCAGAACTCTTTTGCTAATTTCAGCCAAACTTGTCACAGAGGATTCTTGGGTAAAGATTTAGATTTGTTCAAAAAAGGACCACGCCCTTTTTAATGTGCAATGATTAGGAAATAATGAAAATTCGGTGGCTCATTTAAAGATCTTCTCAAGAACTACTGGGCCAGAGAGGACAAAACTAAGGTAAATGCTTTAGTACATAGTCTAAAATCAAATGTGCTTTATCATTTCAGGGTCCTCTGGTCAGGATAGTGCCACAATAGGAAATTAAATTTTAACGAAGGTATCAATATTTTTTTTTTCTTCTCAAGAACAGCTTGATCATGATTAGTGATACTTATATTATATGCAAGCATCCTCAGGAAGTGCAGTTTCGGGTTTATTCTAGCCATGCCCCATTAGGGGTAGGGTGAGACCACTCTTAAAGATAAAACAATTACATCGAAAATAGTACAGATATGCTAAGCAAGGCTATCTGTTAAGAGCACCTTAGAAAGTGCGGATTCAGTTAAAATCGTGGTCCCAAAGGGTAACGTTGGACCATAAAACACAAAGCAGCTGTAATCATTAGAAGATATCTTTAGTATCATTTACTGGACGGATATTGAAAACATGAAGAAAAACACACAAGAAATATGTTTCAAACTTTACAGAAAAAAAAATGGAACAGCGTCCGTTCATAAAATTGTATTAATATATTTGAAATGACGTTAGAGACAAAACAATAATCTAAAAACATAATATTATTGGAACATGTTTAACTCATTGATTTGAAATTGGTATATACAATTTTTCAACAGTGTGTACAATATGGAAGACACTACAACTTAGAACAAGAGGCCCATTGGCCACAACGCTCACCTGAATAACTTTGGCCCTGCTGTTTTTCACCAGATGATCTTTTTGTAATACCTATTGTGGCCCCGCCCTACCCACGGGGATCATGATTTTAACAATTTAGAATCTACACTACCCCAAAATGTTTCCACATAAGTTTCAGCTTTTCTGGCCCAGTGGTTCTTGAGAAGAAGATTTTTTAATGACCCCACCCTATTTTTGTCTTTTCTTGATTATCTCCCCTTGTAAGGGGGTTTGGCCCTTTATTTTAACAATTTAAACTCCCCTTCACTCAAGGATGTTTTGTACCAAATTTGGTTAAAATTGGCCCAGTGGTTCTTGAGAAGAAGTTGAAAATTTGAAAAGTTTACAGACGGACGGACGGACAGACAGACGGACGGACGGACGGACGGACGACGGGTGATCAGAAAAGCTCACTTGAGCTTTCAGCTCAGGTGAGCTAAAAACCATTGTTATTTGATGAAAATAGAATATCTTTATTCAAGATGTTGTTATAAATGTAGCACAATGTCGGACTGGGCTGTGCAGCCTGTGTATACGAAGTGTTTATAATGATGACGCTCGTAAATTATCTGTTTTGATTTTAAACAAACAAACGAACAAAACATATAGTGTATATTGTTGCATTATTTATCGTGCGCAAACGTAAACAAAGAGTCTATCTGAATATTTAATTTTTTTCTTAATGATTTGCTTTGAAGTGCAAAACAAATCAATAATTTTCAAGACACATTAAATCCAATTTAGGTAAACATGATATAATTTTTTTAAAAAAAAGTTTTCTGTTGTTTTTTTTTAACACAATAAAATCCCAGTTTGACACAGAGTTGAAGGAAAATAGATACAAGTGAGAACAATCATACCTCCATACGTCCATCCAGAGAAAACGCTCCCATCTTGATCACACACTTTCTTATCCACCTTTTGGTCAAAACGTTTAGAGGCGTCCACCACCACAACATAGAAAGCTCTCCTGGTCAGGTAAATCTGGTGACAGGCGTAGTATGCACACTGTCCGCCAAAGTCAAAGAATGTCACAGTCTTTGTATCGATATTTCTAGCATTAGTTTCTCCTTTGTTCTTTTCTTTGTCCTTTGTCCTTGCTGAAAGAAATCAGGTTTTCCTTAAAAATCTGTCAAGTTTTGTCGATGGAATGAACATAATCTTGAGACTATTTTTTTTATCACATGCAGATGGGGATAAAAAAAATCTGTAGTATTCAGCATAACCAGCATTCCGCAAACAGTTAGAATCAGTATTTTTCAAATCAGCATACTATAAATTTTGTGATGATTGTAGAATGTACATGCTAAAATTACAATAACTATTATTATACTTTCATGTTAAATACTAAAATCTGATTGGTTTAGACGCATTTAACAATCAGTAATGTTACCCTCAGCGTTAGCAACACACTTGACAACGGGTAACATTACGAAAATGTCACATGCGTTCAAATCATGCGCGTACGGTTCACCGTAGAATTCTCAAAACGTCGGTTGTGCGTTTGAAAGAAGCCGAATAAACGACGTCAATAAAAGCTTGCGTCCGATGTAGCTCACTTGAAAACAACAAACGACAGACGAAACATCCTTGCGAGTGCAAACTTTAGATGATAAAGGACTTTTTGAGTAGCAAACAAACAATAACGAGGTTGGTAAATCTTTTCCGAAGCTTTCTTATTGAGAAAAATAGAAGCGGGGAGTTTGAAAGCTTTCTAAGCGTGAAATTAACGACGATCTCCGAATTTTTTTTTATGACATCCGAAATCAATAGGACATTCAGTATAATAAAATAAATAGTGCACGTTTTTGAGGGTAACAGTTGAAATTGACACCCCTCGGAAAACCATTGTCAACCTCCGCTGACGCGTCGGTTGACAATGGTTTTCCTTGGGGTGTCAATTTCAACTGTTACCCTCAAAAACGTGCACTATTTATATAATACTAAAAGATTTTTTTTTTACTTCATGAAGCATAACTAACATCAATTCTACTTCCGGTAGTACATCTTCGCCAGCCAAGATTTTTTCCGATCCGAAATCTACTCGGAAACCCTAGGCCGGTAGCATTGACCCACTGAAATCAGCATAGGATAGGCATTTCTAATAAGCCTGAGTAAGTATATTTATGTAATAACCGTAAAGTTTTTTTTTTAAATCAACATTTTATAAATTTGTAACAGTAAATGTTTGATGTGTTGTGATAAAAAAAAGGTTTTTTACAGGAATAGTTAATTATTGATTACATTTTACAAGTAATAATTTATGATTGTTATTGCTGGCTATTTTAAAAAAAAATTGTTGCATAATTCTTATTACCACTTTTAAATTTATTTCTATATTATGGTATTGATTTACTACAGTATGTCAAAACTTTAAAAAATTATATGTACATGTAACACATATGAAAGAGTTACAAATATTGAATTCATAGAACACAAGACAGTTGAAATAATGTTTCTTCCTAAAATGCTTGCGATGTAAAGAAAAATGCTAAACATTATTTATGCCTTTAAACGTCCTTAATTATGCTGTTTACATATATTAATAGATTACATTATTCAGTTTTACTCAGTGATAAGATTTATAATTCATCTATTCACTCATATAATTTGGAGTGGAATGTTTACCATTTTTAAAAAGAAAACTAATTTACATATATAAGTAAAAATTATACAATTTAGACATCCTGAGGGGCATAAAGTTGACCTTTCAACATTATAATTTTACAAAGGAATGATAATTATTAATTTATCTCAAAGGGAGGTATATCTCTTATAAGAGGGTTAATGAACCTTAAATAAAAATTCTTTCATTTTTTTTTTTTTTTTTTTTTACAATTGTTTGTATATCTGATGTGAAAATAAAGGGAAAAGTGTCAAAATTGATAATTGTGATTCAATATCATATTGGTTCATATTTTGAATTCAAATACTTTCATTTAATCCATTGTATGTAGACTATTTTTCACAAAGACTCTCTTAGTGTTTTTACTTTAAAAAACATGTTTCATCAATTAAGAAGAAAATCCAAATTTTCTTCAGTCAGTTTTTCTGTTTTATGTTATATTTCTTACCTTTTAATGATTTTGATTCATCACATAAAACAAATATTTCCTCATGCACCTCCAATCCCTCGGTAGGTTTTACTTCCTTAATTTCTTCTTCACTACGACCGAGAAGACGTTTAAGAAGCGTGGTTTTCCCGGCCCCAGCACAGCCTACAATCATCCCCCGGGCGTGGTGGACCGTCTGTGTTCCTCTTTTAGCGTACTCCACATACCGCTCTCTGGCCTCCTGGTCCCATTTTAGTATTTCTTCTGGGACACCCACTGTATCATATGAAATAAACAGTATTAAAGAAAAAATCAGCAATTCACAACACAAATAGTACATTTGTTATACTTCAGTCACGGGAAAAAAAACTGGAATTTGACAGCTTTAGCTTTCCAATATCAGGTTTCAAATGGATGCAAAGTTATTAGAGCCTCAAAAATATAAAATAAAATGACCTCTTTTAACATTCTCGATAACTTCATCTTATATGACGCAGAGATCGATTTACTTTATTATTGTACCTATATTCTATGAAATGATAACATCTTTATTTTTGTATCCCATCCTCCGTATTGTCTGATATTCTAATCAAGCGTTATTCTTTTTTTTTCATATAACACCTCTCTATTCTTAATAAAATTCTATATGAAACTGTTTTCGCCTCATCGGTAATCAGAGAAAAGGATGATGATATCCGAAGGTTGATGGAAGATTGCAGACAACAGACGGGAATCCATAGCTGACTGACTTGACGTGGTTGATATAAAACTCCCTGTTGGGAATTCTATTATTCGAATTCGTGAGGCAAACATAGATTGTAGAGAAATTAAGTCCCCAACGTGTGTTTCTATATCTATTATTTATTTCAATGTTTTTGTTTGTTTGTTTGTTTTTTTACTAGACATATGTTTCAAAAAGAGGGTAATATATACATTTTTAACTGCAGTGTTTTTAAAATCTTTGGTCCTTTCAGTTTGAAATGAAATAATAAATATTGTATCCTTGAGGGCTTCAGTATTATCTTTAATGCAATAAATATATTTTCCCCAAAATAATGAACAATGTCTTGAACTGTCATAGAATCTTACTTGTGGAATATACATTCTTCATATCAGTGTACTTCCAGTGCTTAATACCACAAGTGAACTTGTGATAGGAAAAAATCATTTATTGACCGACATATAAAAATGTGATAGTTTGTATTTTCAAGAACAAATCAAGCTAAGTTACACAAAACAAAGGAAACTTCAAAATGTTTACACACGGACGTTTTGGTAACTCGGAATAGTCCGTAGTAAACCTGTATTTTCTTTGATGACGGAATATCCTATGGTGGAAGGGATAGTTTTTTTTAATGCCAAACAAGTGCCGAGAGGGGCGGCATATACATGAGGTCAATAAAAGCAGAAACATGGGGGCAGTTTCTTTGGGGTTAATTATTTGCACTTCATATACACACAGCTTAAATAATATATCAACATATAATGTGCAATCTACATATTAGAGTGCACATGTACGAAAGTGCACTTGGGGGCTTCCCCAGATTTTTGCTTGTTTTTCCAAGATTTTTGCTTCAGTCGCACCCATAAAGCTCATCTCTGTCCCGAGGGAGGGGGTAAAACTACCAGTATTCTGTAGATCAATGCATGCCCTAATGAAAATTCACCAATTGATCTGGGAACATTCACCTTACCTCTGAAATACACACCTTCTTCTACGGGACTGGTCAAAATTTATCGAAGCATGGGACAAGTGCATGGGGTCAAGGACTTTTTTCATGTCTTCAAGTAATGGGGCTGAGACTTTTTTTTCAGTTAATGATCGTGGGAGTTAACCTTTTTTCCATGAAAGAAAGATGAATCAAACAAAAGAAATGTTCAAAGCCACAACAACAAACTTCGAAAAATTTAACACACAAAAATTCAAAAATTATCTATGTAATATCATAAGTATAAAAATATCCTTAATAACTTCTCAGTTCTGTTACAGATGACTGTATATTCTACTAACTTGATGATTTTAAAAAATAATGAAAAATCCTTTTTAATCTTCTTTAATATTTGAACCTATAATAATTATTAGACAGGTTATTCTTGTTTATATGCTAGCAGCTTGACCCCCGTCTATGCAACATTGATTACTTTCATGATCCACTTCAGATATACATGTATATGGCCATCTCTATGGTAGATAATGCACACTTGCATACATTATTGTATTCATATGTATCCGTTTATAATACATATATCTACAGATATCTTCAATGCATATATGTACATGTATTAGACTAATGTTCTTTGAGGCTTATTTAAATTTAACAATTGTAAATTGTCAATATGAATGGATTACATAAACTATGTTGTTGAAAATATATAGAAATAAATAAAATATAGAAAGTTAAGTTAAAGTACATGTTAGGTATTCAAATAGCAGGGAACATCTTTTTGGCAAGGTATAGAGCATGGGGCCAATGATTTTTACCAAACCTGTTATCATGTGGTCTTATGATTTTTGCAATAAATTTTCCAGTTTGCACTGGTCCCATGTATCGAAAAATTTTGACTGGTCCCTAAACCCTACTGCTTTCCAGCTGAATTTTGACTGACCACGTACATGACTTAGTTTCGCATTTACTACTCTGCATGTATATGCTTAGCATCACTGTGGCACCTACATGTTGCACATCATTTTTTTTCAGCAAGCACTCTGCTACACTACAAATGTATCCATAATTATTCTATTAATTGTTTCTATATAAAATATCACATTAAACAGGGAATATCTCCGCTTTTTAAGAAATTTGAAAGGAACTATAGTACGAAACTGTGCGTGTACATGTAACGCTCACTTCCGGGATTGTCCACGATTCAACATGTAAGACTGACTATTTCTCACACAAAATACGATATTCATTCAAGATTCAATTTACACATTTACGTACCTTAAAAAGAAGTATGGACATGCAAGGATGTGCATGGTAAAGTTAAAAGAAATGTAATGATATCACAATGTTGTTATTATGTAACA